AGACTCCAGTCTCCTGGGGTGGAACCAGGCCAAGTTGGGGCAAAGGAGAGCTGGGATTAGCCCTGTGGCTGGTCTGTTGTGGAGTAAGCGTATCTGCATGGTGGGCCGGAAGTGGAGGGCGATTCTGTTGTCCAGTGACGTTTTGAGCTGTGCTGTGTGGAGCCTCAGAGCTAGTACAGCTCCGCTGCATGGCTCCACGGGGGTGGGGACCGCCCACGTGTGTTCTGTGGAATGGTGCCCTGCAGCGCAGTGCGTCAGTGGGTGACTCAGGCACTGACATGGTCACCTTCACTTTCTTCCAACCAACTCCGCTCTGATCTCTTCTCTATATTGGAGCTTCTGAATCAGATTTGACTTGAAGAAAGGATTCTGCTCCTTAAAAAAGAAAGCACTGGACGCCTCATTCCTAAATAATATACAGCTGAGGCATGGGTGGCTGAATGACCTATTCATGGTCCTACAACCAGAAAGGGCCAGAGTCGAGGCTGGAATCCAAACCTCTGGATTCAAGAGTACCCCTGTGGCCTCTACCCAGGGCTGCCTGCCTAGAGATGTGGTCGATTGGAGAGATGTTGTCATGGGGAATGGAACTGGGTTGTCTATTGAAAGAAACCTCGGGCAGTGGAGGGAAAAATAGACCCACTCTGGGGCCCTACCTGCCTTGGTCAGACATGCTCATTCCTTTGATCTTCCCGGAAAATATGCAGCTCCCCTACCCTCATTCCAGCCACCTGTTAATCCCTCTCCACCTCTACCCTGATTTCTTCTCCTCAGGGAAGGCTTTTCTGTCTCAACTTTGAGAACAGTGGAGAGGAACACTAAGGTCCTTCCTCTGTTTCCCCAAATTGCTAGGTGTGCAAATTCTCCCTTAGCCTGGGGATCGGATCTGACTTAGACCTCACACTCAGCAGTGGCCTGCATCTGTATGTAATTGCTGTTGGTCTTGATCAAGAGTAATAGGAAAAAGGCAAAATATTCTGGGAGCCTGTTTTATACTTTTTTGCTTTGGAGTGAAACAATCCATCTCCTGTGATCTTATGACTTCACTAGTCACACGTGGCCCTGTCAGCACTTGGGGGGGTTGGGCTGAAGAAGGATTTCTGGTAGTATTCAAATCCAGGCAAGCATAAATATACTTCACAGAAAGGAAGACCATTCCTGTGAATGTGTCTAGCTTGCAGTGAGAGTCAGCAAATGTGGCCAGCTTGAATGAATGACTATTGCTTTGTCCTAACTCACCAAGTCCACCGACAGCGCTGGCAAGATCTGTGTTTCTATATACTATGGCTAGCGGATGTATAAACTAGACATCAGATGGTGCCTCCCCACCCACTAAAATGGAAACCAGATAGACTCAAACACCCATTTCATGGAGTTTGTGAGGGCTAAACCCTACCCAGGACGATGGAGACTTGCTGGAGTCTTCTGTTCTTGTGTTCAACTCTGGCTTAGAGCTCCAGCTTTAATTTAATTACCTCCCTTTATGGATTTTCTTGCTACCCTGCTCATGTGTCTGGTTCCCCGCCATACCAACTGGGATGTGAACTCAGCAATTTCTCCTGATTTCTGCCAGGAAAGCCACCCACCACAAGGCTTTTGGGTGGATAGAAAGCGTTCCTGGAAGTGGGGAAATGGGAGGGATTTTGGTTGTAGTAACACAGATAACTTAAAAATTTCCTGTGAGGGACTTTTGCTTTTTGAAATTCCTATAGTCAGTTTAACAAATAGGACGCCAGCCTTCTGCCAGGTACAGAGCCTCCATATTCCTAACCCTCCCTCCCGTGTCCCTCTCCTGTCCACTCCTTCACCTCTAACAAACAAACAAACAAACAAAAAAACTCTTTCCATTTCCTCATGCAATGAGATTGAGGTCTCTCAAGCCTTTACCCCAAGATTCAGATTGAAATTCATCGAGGTCCGTAGCAGAATGAAAGACCTTTGATGTAACAAGATGTTCCTCTCCTTAGAAATAAAAAGCATAGGATGCCTGGGTGGCTCAGTTGGTTAAGCATCTGCCTTAGGCTCAGGTCATGATCCCGGGGTCCTGGATCAAGTCCCTCATCCGGTTCCCTGCTCTTTGGGGAGCCTGCTTCTCCCTCTCCCTCTGCCTGCCGCTCCCCCTGCTTGTGCTCTCTCTCTGTCAAATAAATAAATAAAATCTTAAAGAAATAAAAAGCATAAAAATAAACAAAAATTGCCCTTGGTTCCCTGCAGAAGCAGTGTGGGGTAGGGGACCTGAGAACAGGCCTTTGGTGGGTGCTGGCCAGCACGGGATACCCCAATTCCCAGGAAAAAGGCCTGGGCTTTCAGGCATGGTGAGGAGAGACAGAGGGTGTGGGGTCCCTGCAGGGCCTTTGCAGGCAAAGTGGCTTCTCTTTTGCTGATTCAGCATTCTGGATTGCTGTCACCATTTGCTCCTTGGAAGGGGACCGCAGAAGAACGTGCCCTGCTTAGAAATGAAAAACTCACCAAGCCATGCTGGAGACTGAGGATGGCTGCTGAGGGGCACGAGTGTCCTGAGGACATTCCTGCCCAGAGCCCGTGGCCCTGGTCAGCCATGATTATCCTCACCGACACAAACAAGTGCGAGTCTGTACTATGTTCCTGAGAGGGGCTGACTTCACACTCCCCTCAAGAGATGGGGACTTGAAGGATGGTTGATAGTCTATGTTACAAAGGCAAAATCAAGGGCAGGAAGCAGCTACAGCTAGTAGGATCTCTGCAGGTGGGGTCAGGAGACACTTCTAATCCTGGGTCTGCCTCAGACTTGACGAGTCACCTTGGCGAAGGCATTCCTCAGCCTCTGCTCTCAATTCTCTTACCGTGAAATGAGGGGTCTACTGATTTTCAAAGTGTGTTCCTTGGGGGTTCTGTGAGGCTTTGCACAAGGGTAGAGAGCTGAGGGCAGGAAGAAGCTCCAACAAGAGCAGCTCTGGTTTCCCCTGCTTTAGGGTTAGTGGCGAGAAGATTTTCTTTGCATAAAAGAAGTAGAAAAACTACTGCTCTAAAGGATGGATGTCTACAGGCTCTTCCAGCGCTGACATTACATGATTCTAGATGGAGGCAGAAAGAAGAATGGATACTGGGAAAGACGCAAGCATAAGAAAAAGAAGTTCCTGCTACAAATAAATCCCCGGCCAATCTCTCTTAATCTCTGAAAGTTTAAAGATTTAAAATCTACTTTTTTTTTTAAACTGCAGTTCTCAGCAAATAAAGACTCCTTTAAATTATTCAGGTTTGTTACACCCACAAATCACCCATACAGTACATTCTAAATAAAAAACTAATAACTCTCTTTGCGAGAAGTGTCCCTTCCAGAGACCATGTAGAAGGCATTAACCTGCACTGGGAGAAAATAATACTAGTGATTTCCAAATTACACTCATTTTAGGAAATAACTTAAATAAATGAATTTGGCCAAGTGTAGTCTGCTTATTTCCCCTGCATTGAGATGCAGAGGTAATATTTTTCTGCCAGCAAGTATTGGAAACAAAATCACTTACAGCCGTACTTAAGGAACATTTTAGAATCTTCCGCACAATTAGTTTAGTTACATTTCCAAAGCCCTTGCTTTTTCCAGTGCTCAGAAGAGTGGGGGAGGGGTCGAGATAGGGAGGGCAGGAAAAATAGGGTCCCCAGGGCTATGGGGGTATAAGCTCCAAAGTTAGGGACCTTAGCAGATACCTAAAACCACCCCCATCAAGTACTTCTGTCTCTGCTTATAACATTCCTCCCAGGTGCTCACCCTGCTTCTAGAGACTTTCCTCTAGGCATGGCCCAGTCTATTCTCTTTTCTGATAGGTGTAGTTATTGGGAAATGCTTGGCAGAGTAAACATTCAATGTTTGTCAATTAATGAAAATACTCTACCCTCAAGCATTGTCCTGGTCAGCCTTCTGAGGATGTGCACAGAGCAACATTCCTCCCAGGGTGACCCACAAGCATCATCCTTTTCTGAGAGATGGTGGAGGCGTGCTGAGTGGAGGGGGTGAGAATCCAGAGACACGCTCTTTCTCCCTTCTGCCTTGGGTGGCACTGAGTGGCGGGGTGAATTCAGTGTCTAGCTCAGGTTGGAAAAGCAGGAGTCAGATGACACATCCAAGGTTGAGTAAGGCAATGCGGAGGGGACACGGGCATGCGTTCCAGCTTAGAGGTTGGGAGCTGAATTCTAGTCTGAGCTGGGGACCATCCTGAAGGACCAATGGTGACAGTTACTCAGTGCATATGAATCTCCAATTCCTCATTTTATTAAAGATTTATTTTACTTATTTATTTGAGAGAGAGAGAGAGAGAGAGAGAGAAAAGGGAGAGTACAAGTGTGGGGGGTGGGGGGGTAGGGGGAGAGGAAGAGAATCTCAAGCTGACTCCATGTCAAGTGCGGAGCCTGACCGGGGGCTCCATCTCACAACCGTGAGATCATGACTTGAGCCAAAATCCAGAGTCAGATGCTCAGCTGACTAAGCCCCCCCAGGAGCCCGTCCATTTCCTCATTTGTAAAACGAGGATAACAATGCTCACTTTATAAGATGGTAGTGAGGATTCAGTCCAGGAACATTTATTGAGCACCTACTTGTTTTACCCGAAGCTATGCGATACTCCTGCCTTTAAGGAGTTCAAGGTCTGAAGAGGAGACAGACAGGTAAAGACCGGCAGGAATGTACTACTTGCATAGTAAGTGGGAGGTGCTAAGGAATGCTGAGCCAGAACCTCACCCAGCAGGCGGTGGGGGTGCATCAGAGCTGACCTCCCAGAGGACAGAAAGATGAAGTGAGGCTTGTCATCTGGGTTGGAGTAGATGAAGCCAAAGTGATAGGCAGGGTCAAGGTCATTGTACATTACGCTAAGACCCTGGGTTTCATTCTGGGTGACAGGAAGCCACAGAAAGGTTTGGTGTCACCACACAATTTGCTGATGTGTTGGAAAATACCTGGCACGTGGCAGAGTCTCAATCAACGTTCATTTCAAAATTCTGAGCTGAGATTACTTTTTTTTCCCCCCCAGGAGAGTTCCTGCACGTCTTTGCTTTATGCATATGAAGAAATTCATGATAAGAGAGATTGAAGGCTGCAAAAAGAATATTGGAGCAGGAGGAGGAGAGGTGAGCTAGCCCAGGTTGCCCTGTCTCCTGTCTGATCTCGGGAAATTCACTTAGTATCTTTGAGACTCAGTTTCATGATCTGTAAGCTGGGTTTCACAGCACCCACCCTATCTACTCAGAGAGCCGCCACGGGTAACTCAATATCAGGGGCTCACTTTATATTGTTTGAGGCTCTGCAGAGAAGGCTGGGGACCTAGGATCCTAGGACAAGGAAGAAGCGTGAAGGCAGGGTTGTGAGAACTGAGTTTTGGGAGAGGGTTAATACATATCTTCCTGTACTTTGTCAACCTGTACCTCCCAAGTGAGTAAAATGTATGCTGTGTGCATCTCGAGACGGCTGAGCACAGTGGCTGAGGACAGAAATAGCCCTGCTGATTTATGAGCAAGAAGCAGATTTGCTTTGATATTGCAACACAAGAAAGCCAGGTCTCTTAAATAATATGGCTCGCAGATTTACAGCTGTGCTGCATGCTCGCTTCAGTGCTGTCTCTGACCATGGACGGTGCTTGCCTCTGGAAAGGCTGAAGTCAGCAACTTCCAAGACGCTGGGAGATAGATCCAGTGGCAGGAGCCAGTATACTGGGTCAGCTGTTTTTAGCGGGGGCCCCACTCCCTCCCGCCACTCTGTTATATGCCATCAGGACTCATCCTGTGTTCCCCACAGGCTCGGGGCTGGCGTGGGTCTTGTGAAGCCAGAGGTATAGCACAGAGGAAGGGCTGGTGCTTATGGGGTGCTATTTGGGGTATACCAGCAGGCCCTACTATTACCTCCAATATTGCCTATGTCCATTGGTTTAGGCCACGGGGGTAAGGACTGCTGTCCCCTTGGGCCTTTTGAAAAAATGCAAGGATCTCAGGAAGCAGGGACTCAATCAGCCTCTGGTTCCTTAAAAAGAATGACGTATTTATTCCACAAACATTTAGGTAGCGTTGATTATAACCCAGGCACTGATCTCAGTGCTTTATAATGATTGCCTAATTTTCCTAACAACCTTCTGAGGTAAGTCTGTTATAATCTCCATTGCACAGATAAGGAAACTGAGGTGAGTACCTGAGGTGAGTGAGTTGTCCCGGGTCCCAGGGCTAGTGATAGGTGGAGACAGAATTTGAGCCTGGCAGTCTGGCTCCATTGTCTGTGTGCATAACCATTATGCTCTAAACACTAGCGTGACGTCAATCACAATAGCTGAGTACTGTCTACCAGTCATTGGACTAAACGCTTTTTACGCATCTCAGTTCATCCTCACAGAGCCCTGTGAGGTAGGTACCGTTATGATCATCCCTTCTTTGTAGAGGAGAAAGCGGAGCACACAACTTGCCAAAGATCACACTGGTAGCAAGTGGCACCGTTGGGATTTAAACAGAAGCAATCTGACTCAGGAGCTTGTTTGTGAAATGTGAATGCAGTGACTGAAGTTCCTGCCTCGCACATTTTGGAAGGGAAGTGATAAAAAGAGGGAGAGAGCTGTGAGGGCAACTATGGGAATAGAACTATACCTATTTTAGTTTCTGCCAAGGGATGGCCCCATTGATCCTGCTAGGATCACTAGGGAGCCCATTCGAAGTTGGATGGATGAAGGCTGGCACACCACACCCCGGACACTGCACAGCATCACGAGGCGCCAGGCTCCTTGCGCACCTTTGTTCTTGGCAACAGGGGCAATTTGGCTTTCTTTCCATCTCCCATCTCCTCTTCTATCTCCATCAGCTATCAGAAATCCTCTCTATCTTGGGGTCTTCTGTCCTGTTTTTGATACCAATCCCACCTCTTCTCCTCCAGTGGTGGTACCTGAGTTTCTGACTTCTTTCTTGTACCTCAGCATCCACTTTGATGACCTGGGCGTGGTCTACTTCTTGAAAGACCAGCCCTGCTCTGCTTTCTCCAGCCTTGTGAATGCAGGAGGTTTGGCTCAGACCTCCAGGCCTGTGAATGGGGTTTGCCCCATACCTGCTGTCAAACCTGCCTCGGTTTGATAGAACACCTGCTTTCATTCCTTCATTCGTCCAATGCGTGTGTATGGAGCTGAGAGAGCACCTACCATGTGCCAGGCACTGTTTTAGATGCAAGGGATGCAGATGTATGCAAGATCAGTCCCTGCCAATAAAGAGTGCACAGTCTGGCGGGGATAAGCGAGTCAGTCATTACAGCACAGGGGATGAAGCAGTGTGATAGTTGTGAGCACGCAGCCTTATAGGAGCAGAGAGGAAGAGTATCTTAAATCACATGGGGTGTGTGTATGTGTGTGCTGCATGTGTGTAGACAGGGCATGAAGGAGGTGTGGGGAAATGGATGGAGGTCTGGCTTTGCCACAAGCTGATTTTTAAATATTGAGGGAGGGATGAAGAAGGAGAGGGATCGGTGTTTTGTGATATAGCGAATGTGAAGGTTCTCAAGTATGGAACAGCATGACCGGTTTGGGGAGCTCTTAGCAGCCTGGGATGGGTGGCATTAGGGGGACCCAGGAAGGGACCTAGGAGCACAGGGTGTCCTGAACGGGAAGGTAGGTGAAAGAGCAGGATGGGCCTTGGGCACTGAGCTTATGGAGATGAGCTCATCTCTCTTGAAAGAGAGCCAGTAGGAGATCGGCATGCTCACTGTCACCTCTCAGTGCTGCCCACTCAGCTGTCCATGGCTTGCTTGCTCAACATCCCTACTCTCTCCAGAGGCACCATACTACTGTTCTCCATTCACTATAGACACACTGCGTCCCACCCACTAGACTGGACTTCCTGAAGGTGGATACCCTGCCTGTTCACAGCCCTGGTGGGCTCTGCTTCTGAGGTTCCCTACTTCTGGGCCATCTGAGGAACAGTAAGAAACCAAGGGGGCAGGTCCAGAGAGAGTGGGGAGGTGGGGAAAAGAGCTGAGGTTCGTGGTAAGGTAAGTAACAGGGACCCACCGTGACAGCATCGAGGGCCGCTGGAGGGATTGGACCTGGACCTTTTATTGAGGGTCAGCCATCAGAAGGAGTCCTTAAGCAAAGACATGACATAATCTGATTCACTTCTTAATAGGATCATGCCAGCTGCAGAATTGAGAAAAGACTGTAGAGTGGCAGGAATGAAACCAGGGAGACAAGTTAGGAAGTTGTTGCCTAATTCAGACGAGAGATGCTGGCAGCTTGGATGAGGGTGACATTGATGGAAATGGCTGGATCCTGGGCATCTTTAGGAGGCAGAGGGAGAGAATTTCCTGCTGTCCTGGGAGTGGGTGGTGAAGAAAGAAAGGAGCCAAGATGACGCCCACATTTACGGCCTGTGCAAGTGGAACTGTGGGCTTGCGATGGCCAGTGATGGGCGGGACAGCTAGGTTTACAGCCTGTCTTTCCATGGCCCTGGCAGAAGGGTGGGGGGACAAGAAAACAGAAGGAGAGGCCCAAGAGTGATGGGGGGTGCAGAAGGGGTGGTGTCATGGGCTGTGGTGCCCACTGCAGTGTCTGAGGTTTGGAATTTCATTACAAGAAACCTTCATTTCAGGAAAATACAAATAATGCAGTCACTTCAGTCTATTCCCTATATTTAGATATTTCTGGGCACCTGCATGCTGCATCCGCAGCCCCATTATATCTCTGAGAAGGTGCTGTCTTCTCTTGCCTTTTGCTAAGTGACAGGATTTACTGTGGCCTCTTGTGTTAGGCTTAAATCAGGCCTGGGGATGTGGACATTTTGCTAAGCAGGAACTCGGGTGCAGGGACTCAGTAATGAATGGGTCTTTCCACAAGCCCAGTGCATTTAATAACTTCCAGGTTATCCCCAAGTGATTTCCATGGGAGTGGACCAAAAATTGCCTATCAGTCTAAATGAAGTATGCCACCATTTCCCCCGCTTTCCAGTTACTTTTTAATTTCAGCACCACCTGCTCCTAGTTCCACCAGGGCTGACTCTGCCAGCATCGTCATTATGGGTTTTGTCTTTCTGTGATGTGTAACTCATCATATCCCAGGCCTGTTCCTGCTCAGTGGCTAAAAGAAATATTTGCCAGTGTATCAGCATCTCTGGCCGGAGAGATGTAAAATATGGGCTGCCCTCCTTATATCCAGATGAGACTTTGAACCCATTGGCAAAAGCGTACCACATCATTACGTTGTGTGTGTGTGTGTGTAAATTATTCTTGGCATCAAGGTAAATTCTACCCAGGCCTGGTATGTGGAAAGAGCAGGGGTTTTAGTGTCAGAAAGAACTGAGCTCAAAGCCTAGCTTTATGACTTATTCAGGTGGTGACTTGAGGTAGGTTATTATGTGCCTTGGGTTTTCCCAACAGCGACATGGGTATGGTAGCTGCCTCGTGGGATTGCCATGGCAGTGAGACAGCGTATGAGAAACAGCCTGGTGCATGGTGGGCCCCTGGTCCATGTTCGTTGCCTTCTACGGCCTTACAGGTGCAGTCTCACAAGTTTCCTCATCTGTAAAATGGGGACACACTGAACATCGCTAGAGGTTACAAGCGCCGGCTTTGGTGTTGGGGCACTTGGGTCTGAGTCTTTTACTATGGGGTTGGGTCTCTTACTAGTTGTGTGACATTAAGAAATAACTTAATCTCCTTACACTCAGTTTTTCACTTGAAAAACAGAGATAAAAATAACACGGCCTTCAAAAGATTTTTGTAGGGATTAATCCAGTTAATTCCTGGAAAAACGCTTAGGACAGTGCTGGGCACAGAGCAGGCCCTCTGCAGAATATTTGCCCTCGTTCTCCAGGGATCCCTTTCCATCAGGGTGCTCTTTAGCTTGCGGTGAGTAAGCTCCCATATCAACTTTGCAAAGTCAACTTAGGTACTTGGTTTCACTTGATTCTCAAAATACTTGGGAGGTAGGAGAAAAGTTTTTTTTTTTAAGCTATCATTTAACACATGAGAAACGAAAACAGAGCAGAGAGGTAAACTGCACAAGGGCACAGACGAAGTCAGCGGCAAAGCCCAAGTCAGACGGAGTCTCGTTAAGCCTTATTCCCCATTCTCCCCACTGTATGATCCTCTCAGCACCTGCGGGGTGGAGCACACGGGCCAAGTCCCTGGAGCATTGTGCAGTCCGGTGGCCCGTGTAACTCTTGAACCTGTGACTCCAATCTCATCTGGAATGATAAAATCCCTGTGCAGTTATTGTGTAGGTATTTTACATATATTATTTTGTTAAATAACCCCACATTCTTTATATCCTTGACAATGATGTATAAAAAGACTTTGCAAACAGGGATGTGGTTAACAACCCTAATCTATTTTTTTTAAGGTTTACTTATTTATTTATGAGAGAGAGGGAGAGAAAGAGAGCAGGGGGAGGGGCAGAGGGAGAGGGAGAGAGAGAGAATCATCAAGCAGACTCCCTGCTGAGCACGGAGCCTGATGCAGGGCTCGATCTCACAACCCTGATATCACGACCTGAGCCGAAATCAAGAGCTGGACGCTTAACCGACTGTGCCACCCAGGCGCTCCCTTAAGCTATTTTTTTTTTTTTTTGAGAATTGATTCACATACTATAAAATCCAACCTTTTAAAGTGTGTAATTCTGTGGCGTTTGGTATATTCACAAGGTTGTGCAACTATGATCATTATCTAATTCCAGAACATGTTCATCAGCCCCAAAAGAAACCCTGTAAACATTAGGAGTGACTCATTCCCTATTTCTACCCCCTGGTAATGACTCATCTACTTTCTGTCTCTGTGGGTTTGTCTATTCTGGATTTTTCATATAAATGGAGTCTTACAAGATGTGGCCTCTTGTGACTAGTTTCCTTCATTTAGCATAGTGTTTTCAAGGTTCACCAAGGTTCACCAAGGTTCACCAAGGATGTATTAGTACTTCGTTTCCTTTTTATGGCTAAATAGCATTCCATTGTGTGGTCAACCACCTGTTGTTCATCCATTCACCAGCTGATGGACATTTGTGTTGTTACCACTGTGGGACTATTATGAATAATACGGCAATAACATTCATGCATACATTTTTATATGAATAGATGCTTCCTTCATTTTTTGTTTTTGTTTTTGAATATATGTTTTATTTACTTTTTTTAAAGATTTTATTTCTTTATTTTAGAGAGAGACAGAGCACCCAAACATGAGTCGGGGGGGAGGGACAGAGGGGGAGGCAGGGGGACAAGCAGACTCTTCGCTGAGTGTGGAGCCCAACGCAGGGCTCAATCTCACCACCGAGACCATGACGTGAGCCCAGATCAACAGTCAGATGCTTGACTGACTGAGCCACCCAGGTGCCCCTGAATATATGTTTTAAATTCTCTTGGATTATATACCTAGAAGTGGAATTGCTGGGTTATATGGTTAACTGTATGTTAACTTTTTGAGGAACTGCCAAACAGTTTTCCAAAGCAGCTATGCCATTTGACATTCCTGTCAGCCGTGTTTGAGCGCTCCAATTTCTCCACACATCTTCACCGAAGCTTGGTATTGCCTATAAGGTATTCATTTTATAAGGCCATATTTTTATTCTGAAAACTTTCCATCTTGGATACCATTGAAAAGATCACATTGCTTGGGGCACCTGGGTGGCTCAGTTGGTTAAGTGTCCTACTCTTGATTTCGGCTCAGGTCATGATCTCAGGGTCATGGGATCGAGCCCTGCGTCCCGCTTTGTGCTGGGCATGTAGCCTGCTTAAGATTCTCTCTCTCCCTCTCCCACTGTTCCCCCCCCCCAAAAAAAAATTACACTGCTCAGTTAAATAGATAAGAGAGAGTCTTCAAAGTTCATGGGTCCAAGAGGAAAAAGTATATTTGCTTCCTTGGATTTTTTTTTTAATGGCATTTTTTAAAAAAAGATTTTACCTATTTATTTGACAGCGAGAGAGAGAGCAAGCACAAGTAGGCAGAGCGGCAGGCAGAGGGAGAGGGAGAAGCAGACTCTCTGCTGAGGACCCTGGGATCACAACCTGAGCCGAAGGCAGATGCTTAACTGACTGAGCCACCCAGGTGCCCCATAATTCCTTGGATTTTAAGAACAGCTTAAGTGGAAAAGAATACTTAATTATTGGCTTGTATTATATATTCCTATTTACCATTTATTTTAACATTTCTCCTTTGTACCTTCCTGTTTTAAGACATCATTTTCAAGGGTGTGCATCTTGGAATGGATTAAGCTACACGACCCTCAGGTCTGCTCGACCGCCTATCGCAGTAGCAGTACAGCTCTGTGACGTGCCTGGCATCATCCTACGTCATGTAGGTATATTAACACCATCTTTACAGCAAGTTTTTGCGATAGTTACTATTGAAATCTCCTCGGGGCGCCTGGGTGGCTCAGTCGGTTAAGCGACTGCCTTCGGCTCAGGTCATGAGCCTGGAGTCCCGGGATCGAGTCCCGCATCGGGCTCCCTGCTCGGCGGGGAGTCTGCTTCTCCCTCTGACCCTCCTCCCTCTCATGCTCTCTGTCTCTCATTCTCTCTCTCTCAAATAAATAAATAAAATCTTTTTTTAAAAAAAAAAGAAAGAAATCTCCTTTACGTAGATGAGGAAACTGAAGTACAGAAGGATTAAGTAACTTGCCCAAGGACACACAGCAAGTAAGTGGTAGAGAAGAGACTCAGACTGTAAAGCTCATGTACTTAACCCCTGTCTACTGTGGTCCTAATTTTTACAAACATTGTGGTCTTGACTTATTCTGGACTGATTCACTCTCTTATTCCAAGATCTTTAGGTAGAGACTCGATTTGTTAAAGAAGTTTCTTCATAGTACCAGGACCATAATATTACTATACATTTGAGTAATTCTATGAATTGAAACAATAAATATAAAGAAAATGCCAAGGTAAGGCTTTACGTCCTCTTCCAAGAACTCCTTGATCCCCTCATTCAGAATCATCTCTCACTACTCAGTCATACTTTGTATGACAATTCAGTCCGACAAATATTTTTGTGTCAAATATAGCAATAGGTATTGGGATGCAGAGATAAATAAGACAAGGTTCCTTCTAGCACTTACGGTAGTTTGGCATGCATTATTTACATGGTTCTCTGTCTCTTCCCTACTCCTTCTCTTTACTCCTTTCTCCAGGTGAATTAAACTGAAAATAAAATCTACATTTTAGGGTGAACTTTTATAACTTTTTTCTTACATGTCCACGATGAAATGTCCCCTTATCTCTCTAAGAGGAGAAGGTATGGGATCCACATTTCTTGTCCTTCTTCCTAAAGAATGACTTATCTGAGTGGAGAGATCGAGGAAAGGAAGGGAGCAGGCAGGTCTCGGCACCCTTCTCTCCACCAAATGTGCCCTCCAGACCCTGGGCCTCTGCTAGTTTCCCATCTGAGGAAATGGAATCACCGTCCACCCAGCTGTTTAGGCCCCAGACCTAATAGTGTCCTTGATTCTTCTCTCTTCCTCATCACCCACTCTGAATCAGAGACAAGTTTGTGACCTCTTTCTCCAAAAATGACTCCAGATCTGTCCACCTCCCTACACCCCCTCTGTCCCGGAGTCTCTCTCCCACGCCACCATTCCCCCTCTCCTAGCTCCTCCTTGTCCCCTGCAAGCCATTCACCACACAGAAGGCAGGATGATACTTTTAAAACAGTCATGCTACTCCCTTCCTCAAAAGCAGGCAATGGCTTTTCATTGCACAAAATAAAAATCCAAACTCCTGATGAGGCATAAATCTCTTTGTGATCTTGCTCCTGGCAACACCTCCCATTTTTTTCCCCCCAGAAGTCCTGTTCTCAGGATGGACACAGTTTTTGCTCCTACACATGCTAAGCTTTCAGGTAACTGTTCCTTATCTCTGTCCTGCCAAGGTCCTTTGCCAGGGAGCAAATCGGCATCCATCAGGTCTCAGCTTAAATGTGAACTCTTTAGTGGTGCCCTCCCTGGCTACCCTATCCAAAATAGATCACTTTTACTGAAGATGTTCTCTTTCTCAGCATCCTTTGGTTTCTTTCTTCACAGGGCCTGTATTTGCTCAGTTATTTTTTGACTTCATACCATAGCCTGTCCTACAACTGCACAACTCCCTTGTGCCAAGAACCGGTCCTCGGCAATCTGATGTGGTCACTGCACTCAAATAAAAATGCCCCTTTAACTGAGGGGCATAGAAAGCAAGACAGACAGACATCACTGTCGCAGAATTGTGAAGTGCGGGCACAGGACAGGAAAGGCTGGTTGTTGATGCTCATGACAGCTAAGCTAAATTCACCTACAACTGCAAGAAAAGTGGAAGGACTCACTCCGTAATCTTCTTCCTTGTCTATAAAGACAACAATCCCGCCTACCCTACTGGGGCTAAGGTGGAATGCAACTGTATGTGGAAAAACACTACGAAGTGCTGCGACTAGGTAAGATGTGTGTTCACTTGCAATGCTTGTTGTTGGACACAAAAATGCTTGTTACTTCAAGCAGAATTTGATTCCTTCGCTTTCTGTTACTGCTGGTGCCAGCCTGCTACGCATTTGCAGCATCTGCTTGGGGGTGTAAGCCAGGCTGCCTAGGAAGGCACAGTGGTGCAAAGTTCCTCTCCTTCCCCCACCAAGACGCGCTCACCCCTCAGCCTGCCCTGACTTCTTGAAAAGCTGGCCTAGATATGTCCCTTCTCAGAACCAGATGGGAAGAACCTGCTCCAAATTCTGACCAAACTGGGAAGAGCCTCTAGACTAACCAAACCGAAACCAAATATGGTGCATGCTGCTCTGGAGGGCACATAGGTGGGCACACGGACCGACAAAATAAGACATTTCATCCAGGCTTTGTCCAGGTAGTTCCAGAAAAATGGTTTGGAAATTCAGGCAGCATTATTAGTCACTTCGGTATCTAAGCAGTGTCGTAAATGAGAGCTCTAGTCAGATAGCAATCTATCCGGTCCATTAGAAATCAAATTTTCATTTCAGTTGGGCAAATATTCGGTACTTATTCCATGTCAGGCTCTCTTCTAGGAACTGGAGTACAATAAAGAAAACAGTCAGAGATCCCTATCCCATGAGGCATACATTGTAGTGGGGGAGACAGATAACAAATATAATCAAAAAGTTAGGTGCAGTTTTAACTAGTCAGGGACAGTGCAACTTGCGTAAAGAGTAGAAGATGAGCAAGTAGCCATGTGTATATATCCAAGCAAAGGGCATTCTATACCAAGGGAGGGGTCAGAGCAAGACTGGAGTGGGAGCATACCCTGGGGGTGTGGGGCGCAGCAAAGAAACTGATGTGGCTGGAGGAGCATGAGCAAGGTGGGGAGCGGTGGGAGATGAAGTCAGGGAGGAAATGGGCACCTGATCATGCAAGGTCTTGTGGAGAATCCTGAGACTTTGGCTTTTACTCATGTGACATGGGGAACCCTTGGAGGGTTTTTATTGGAAGAGTAACATGACATATTTAAAGGATCATGACTACATGCTGGATAGAGAGTGGGTTAGGGAGGAGGGGCATTCATAGAGAGAATGATTATTGGACTATTCCAATAACCTGGGTAGAAAGATGATGCTGGATTGGACCCAGAAGTAGACAAGTTTTAGATGTATTAGGAATATACAGCCAACAGGGTCTTCTACAAATTATTGTGGATTAGTTAAAGAGTTAACATGCTTAAGAATACTGTCTCTTTTGAGGATTAAAAAAAACAAAGTTTCAGTGTATTATCTCATGTGATCCTTATGACAACCTTGTGATGTAGGAGGGGTTGGCTGCCTCAGTCCCAGCACTGGTGGTGAATGGTTCTCCTGGGGCCAGTCAGCATGGTCATTGGCTGAATTGGGACTCTCAGCATCTCAGTCCCAGGTTCCTCTCTTGTCTCCTTTCTACTGGCTGCTTTTGCCTCTGAGTTCTTATTTAGGTCTTACCCTCTATTTTCCAAGCTCCCACTGGACCGGCACCATCTTTAATGGCCTCACTCATATCCATCCAAACCTCCAAATGCAGCGAGCGATTCAACAAGGACAAACGGGAGTCAACAAAGGCTTTCTGGCTCCCAGACCCCGAGCCTCTACCCCCTCTTCGCCTTTCACGTCCCCCTCAGGTGTCTCCGCCTCTGACACTGCTCGTCTGGACTGAATTCAATTATTTCTTGCACTCTCATTACAGTCTGACCAAGATTTATGAGTTGATAATTGTCTGAAAGTAAGACCACAAAGTATCATTTGTGTTTGGGGCTAACCTTCCCGGTGACCTTTAGGATTAAAGGCAAAATGAAAAGTGTGATTTCTGCAGAGCCAAACAGGGTAACGTGATCCAACCCAGCTAATGATCCAAAGCCTCAGATTTCCCTGGTGGAGGACACATTAAAGCTGGCACAAAGGGGGACAGCTAATCCCGCAGGTTCATTTCACAAATTAATTTTTTGAAGGCGTCACAACCTCCCCCTCTCACTTCTGGGTGCATTCTGAGTGACGTTTTCCAAACAGGATGATGACAACAGCTCACACCTCTAAGACCTTTATTGGATTATTTTTACAGGCTATTGAAAAACACTTTTTTGAGAAGCCCTAATTGAAAACAGACCTCTCCCCCTGCCTGAGTTAGCAAATGGAACATCACAAAGGGTGAGAGGAAAATGAATTCATGGAAACTTTCCCAGGTCGGTGGGTGAGACCTGATCACTCACTTCCCCGAAGCACTGCGTGCTCAATAATGACCCTTCCTGATAGCTCTTCCTCACGTGCCCCAACGATCCAAAGACACAAGTGCAAAGAAGACACGTCTTGAGACTCAGTTGAAAGCTTCCAGCCAGCCCAAAGCAGTTGGGAGGCATTTGGGGTTCTCTGTCGGGAATGTGCAATACTGGGTCATTCGGAGTTAGAAGGCCACTTCCTAAGGGAAGAGGGGCAGTTGGCTTCTGTCCCATGCAGGGAATCATAAAATGAGAAGGCCTAATAAATATGAAACTGTGATAATGTCTTCCTTCTCTTCTGGCAAACTTGATGGTCAGTTCAAGTATTTATTGTACCAGGCACTGTGCTGGACCCTGTGAAACAATTTCTGCAAATCCTCAAGGAACTCGAGGGCTAGAATCTCCCCTGGAGGCAAGCAAGGACACAGGACTCTGCTCAGGCTGGGGCTGGGAACAGGTTGCGGGGATTTGCAGGGATTGGCCTGAGATCAAGGGGGACCAAAGCCACTGTGCTTGGAGAAGGGAGACTCAGGAAGTATGGACTGCTTATGGTGTCAAATCCAAGGGGTTGGGGCACAGGGGTAAAAGATGAAGACTGGAACTTCGTGAAGTCAGGGATCATCTTTGTATTTTCCATCATCGTACTCACAGTGCATCTGGTTCACCAAAAGGTAAGATCAACCATTGCTTAATTTCATGATCCTCTCTTCCCCCCATAGGCAATATGTGATAATATCTCTGAACATGTATATTATTTTGGGCCAACTGTTTGAACACAGTCTTGAAAACATGCATTTATCCCATTTTGAGGGGTTTCTTCCCTTTATTGTGTGTTTTCTGTGCAGCCTTTTTTTTTTTTTTTTTAGAGATTTTATTTATTTATTTGAGAGAGAGAGCATGGAGAGAGAGAAAGAGAGGGCGAGCACGCGAGAGCATGAACGGGGGAGGGGTAGAGGGAGAAGCAGGCTCTCCGCCTAGCAGGGAGCCCGATGCGGGACTCGATCCCAGGACCCTGGGATCGTGACCTGAGCCGAAGGCAGACGCCTAGCCGACTGAGCCACCCACGTGCCCTGTCGTACAGCATTTGAAACCAGCCTGACACCAACATGTACCTGTGTTGCAAGGCAGATGCCACCATAGATTCTGGAGTTAGGCTGTCTGTTCCATCTGTAAAATGGGGATATCCGTCGTGGGGGAAAGCAGGCAAAGCAACTAAAACAATACCCAGTCTATGTTAAATGCTCTGTAATGATTATTAAGTGCTCGTGAATGATTATCAAGATTATTTGTTGGGCGCCTGGGTGGCTCAGTCGGTTAAGCGACTGCCTTCGGCTCAGGTCATGATCCTGGAGTCCCGGGATCGAGTCCCGCATCGGGCTCCCTGCTCGGCGGGGAGTCTGCTTCTCCCTCTGACCCTCCTCCCTCTCATGCTCTCTGTCTCTCATTCTCTCTCAAATAAATAAAAAAAAAATCTTAAAAAAAAATATTATTTGTTAACATAAGCAATGCAATCTCTCAGATATCTGTGACACCTTCCAGAAAACTCCTCACTCTTTCCTGACCCATGTGTTCTCTTTCTGACCATGACTTGGCCTCATATGAACTCTGCTCTACACCTCCTTTGTGGTCTGCTGTCAGCACTTTGTCTCATCTGTGTTTGGCTTTCAGTTCCCCTTAAATATTGGGGAATAGCTCACGTCTGGCCTCTTGAATCCCCACCCTGCCGCTGGTGCCCCGGTCACCCCTCTGCCCGAGTGATGTCCGTCTAGAAGTGCGCTCAAGTGGGTTGAAACCACTGGTCACAGTCAATTGTTAAAAGCTGTAGGAATTTTAGAAGTTGGTTGTTAAAGACAGCCACTACTAAAACTCAAATTATATCAACCCACAATCAAATAAATGATATTTAAAACAGAGTTAATAAGTACTCAAAATTTATTGCCTCCAAATTATTTTATTAACTTTCACTCTGATCCGTACTTGGGATGCTTCCATCTGTTGTAACTATACGGAAGTACTATGTAATGGTGTATTACTGCACACTTTGTTCCAGGTCTCTGTTCTGTGATGTCATGTTGCTAGCTTCAAACTGGTCGTAGTGGGATTATTTGCATGGTGGCAATTGGCATGAACTACATATTAGGATTTCTTTTCCCTCGGAGAGCTGGTTATTAAGCACTGACCTGCACCCCACTGGGTCCAGCTCTCTCAGCGTGGCACACGGAGGCTGCTCAGACTTCTGCCATAGCAGTTACCACACTATTCCCCATTGCTGGGGTATCATTGTACCCTTTCCTGCTCTATGACCAGGTTGAGGGTAGGGACCAGCATCTATTCATTTTTGGAACATAGTCTCCCGTTCCCTATGCTGCCCTAACCCTAGCGTATTTGCAGAATGAAAACTTGAATGTGGACTTATGAAAAGGTGGTTTCTGGTAACATCTGCCAACCTTTCCCAGCCCTCCCTCTTGATTTGATCTCACAGTGTGACAAATGGAGAAAGGATGAATGGCATCAAGGACTGTAACCCCATTCATTCTTAGAACTGGAAGAGTTGGGTTTCAGTTGGGGTGGAGTTCTTGAGGATACTTCGTGGCTAATCTTCTGGACCAACATGTTTTGTGCCAGGCCGTTTCTATCAGTAGTAATTATGTTTTCAAAATGGGTTAGTGTGTGTGTGTGTGTGTGTGGTATAGCTAGGAAGAAGATTCACGTTGTTGGGGTATAGGAGGGAGAAGGTAAGAAGGTGGCTGTTTAAACATTATTTATAGATGCTCAACATGTTCCAAAGTTAGAAAAGTTTTCGGTGATCAAACTATTGATACAAACATTTACATTCAAGGCTTTTGCCTTAAATTTGATGCCTGCATTGGAATGTCTAAATAGTGAATACCAGCTCCTTGTAACTGGGAATTATTGAGGAGCCTAGGAAATAATATATAGCCCTGGGCTTGGTACATTCATAAACTTCGTATAATGATAACTAGTTAACACTTTTCAAAGAGTCCTAGGAAACATCCCATATGAACCTTTACATTTAAAACTCAGCCTCACACATTTTATAATTAAATAGCCTTCCAAGTGACTTATAACCTGGGGTTTTTCTTTTGCCTTAATAGACTACCTTGGCACCTTTTAGCATTGGCTGTTAACCTGGGTGCTTGCCTTTTGGGAATAATCCTGAGTTCTGGAGAATAAAAAGCCACTGCCTGTACTTATGCAAAAGGATAATCTCACAAGGGAGACCCAGGGGTCCTCCCTCCCCAGTAACCTGAAACATGGTGTTAGGTAAGTCTGTTAGGAATGTCACCTGCTCAGATTTCTGACTCTGGACACAGTAAGACACAGCCAGAGATGAAATTGCCCTTCAGTTGAAAAGATGTCTTCTAACATGCAGTTTGGGACAACTGGAATCTGTAGGGAAAATGATCTGCATTTGCTTTAAAAATTGCCTCATACAACGGGTTGCTGGTTTTCTTTCTAAAATAGTCATCTGGATCTTGTAGCTCTAAGACTGTGGACACACTTCCTAGGTCTGAGGTCTCTCCACTAAATCAGAGCCAGGCATTAAAGGACCTTAGTGAAAATTAATGTACATTTATTGTTATTTCTACTCAAAATAATCATAATGCTAGCTAACATTTCTTGGAGTGTTGCTAGAAGCCAGGCGTACTCTAGGACCTGAATATGTATAACCTCATTCAGTCCTATATGAGCTGGGTGTTATTATTACCATTTCTATTATTTACTGGGAAGAAAATTGAGCCTTAGAGACGTAACTAACTTGCCCATGTCACACAGCTACCTAGAACCCAGGGCAGGGTGGGATGGAGAGGGTAGAGAGAGGACCTGGGAAGAGAATACATCCAGCACAAGATCCCTGCCTACAGGAAGGGAAGGTGCTGCTTCTGAGAACTTTTGTTTCAATTCTATGTATATGTGTTTGTAAGTACTGGGCTACCATGTAAAACGTATTTTTTTTACAGTAGATCAGTAGAAGAAGAAAAGTTTGAAGAACATTTTAAAGACAACAGGGACTCCCAGGTGTTTCAGCAGGGAATGGACCAGATGACTGGATCAGATCTGTCACTTAGGGTGATCAGCCCTGGTTGCTTTGTGCAGGTGGCGGGGTGGGGAGGGGACCAAGGCCAGCCAGGTGAGTTAGGTGACTGCAATTGTCCAAGTGATGACTGATTTCCTCCTAATTGTGGGAAGACTGTCCGTTGTGCATGCAAAAAATCTGGCCTATTCTATTCTCTTGAGAGGCAGGATGGCATGGGTACTATGAGCATGAACTCTGGCTCACTGGTCCTGAGCAAGGTCTCTAACTTTTGTCTGCCTGTTTCCTCATCTATATAAGGGGGATAATAGTACTGGCCCTGAGGGTTTGTTGTGAGGATTAATTGAGTCTGAATATTTAAGCCCCTAGACCAGGGCTCAGTACATGTTGGCTGATACAATTTTGAGATTGACATAAATATGGCAATGTTACAGTTATGGATTCATCTAGTCATTGTCCATTCAAGAGCTGTTGACTGAAGAGCCATTATGTGCCTGGAACTTTACCAGGCCTGGATATACAGGTCAGTAGGGGAGACAATAGGTGATGCTATAAACTAATTATGAAGACCAATGGTATATATTTAGGGCAATGTCCCCACTAGACTATTAGCTCCACGAGGACATGGATTTTTTTGCTTGTTGTTTTTAACTGCTGCCGTTTTTTCAGCAATTAGAGCGGTGCCTGACACATGGTAAATATTTGTTGTTAGATAAATATGCCAGCCACTATTCTAAATAGATTTACATGCAACAAAGCACTTAATTTCCCAACAGCCCTAGGAGGTAAAATCTCTTCATATCCCTATTCTAACAATGAGATCGGTGAACCCCAAAGTCACTCGGCTAGTAAGAGGTAAAGCTGGAATCTGAACCACAAGCAGCCTAATACCCATGGTCCCTGCTCTTAACCACTTTGTGCTACAAAAGAGAGAGTGCATTAAAGACCTGCAGATATTCCAGTGGCCCCCATATGGGGCACAACTGATGTACAGACAAGGTCCACCATGTGTCACCATGTTTGGATCTGAGCTACCATCATGGGAGGAGATCCTGACATGATCCCACTCTGGATTGTCTGCCTTCTAGAAACCATCCAGAGAGAACATTCTCAGGACCATCTTTTTGTATACACCTCCTTTCCAAAGCCCTCCAATCCATAAAATAATTTATTCACCATGTGCCAGCACTGTGTGAGGAGGTATGGGGAAGATGGAAGAATGAGGTCAAGTTTGTGCTTTCAAATTCCATAGACTTCATCTGAGAACAATTTCTGCACATGGGAAGATCACTAAAGACACAGGTATTTGTGATGAGCTGTAGGAGCTCTGAGGTGGAAGGGCTACTGCCCTCTAGGTGGTAGGTAAGGTCTGAGATGGAGCTTGTGTTAAAAATAAGACAACAGACCTGAAATGAAGTCACTTATGCTAAGCCCCATGTCATCAAACCAAGACTTAACTTAATTACAGTTTCAGCTCTCCTAGAAATGGAATCTTAAATCAGTCAATCAGGAAGCACCTGATCAGCACTAGTTAGGTAATCTGCCTGATAAACCCCTGTCAGCCCTTAAAGAAAGTAGCCTTGTCATAACCAATCTGTCTTTTTTTTTTTGCCA